GCTGATCCCTTCTGTGTTAGGTGAGCTTTCATTGGTCTTCTCTCTACAGTATTTCAGTTGCATTGTGGAAGCATAATTTCCACGTTATCCACATTCCTGCATTCTCCATTGTGGGAGATAATTTCTCTTGAGGTGTTTGGTCAATCATCTTTCTGGTTAAGGAAAATACAATGTTCCTAGGTAAAATGTGGAAACTAAGTAGGTTCTGTCTGAATTATTTGTTCTTAGCTTAGGTTATCAGTACCTTAAAACCAGGGCTATATATGTTTGTTTTTGTAAATATGTGTGTTGAGTCATCTCCCTGTGCACCATCTCTTGGTAAAGGCCAAAATAAGTAAGTATGTACAAGTTTGGGTCTTATGTCAAGCTAAGGATATAACTTAAGTTATATAAGTAATAAGTAAGGTCAAGCTTAGATACTGTAATGCCAAAAATATGCTTAACTTAAAAGGCAAGTGTTGTACAAGTGCTACACATTAATTTGGTCAGCAAATAGAGGAAATATTAATATAAGTCACTTTCAATCCTGTGGCTTGCTGATCCTTAACAAAGGAGCTTCCTGCTTTATTTTCCCTTGAATAAAAGGTTTAAATGAATGAAAAGCTTTAGAAGGATCTTGGGAAGCAAAATGCTTGCCTTAAAATGTCCCACTGGTGTTGCAAACTTTTGCAATGACTGATGCAATGTATTTTTTCTTTTTTTAGACTTTCTTTAAACAGTGACAGGAGGAGCTGGCTGAACTGCCTTACATAAGCATTATATGCCTTATCATAAGGCCTTCATTAAGGTAGGCAAAACCTTACAAGCAAATATTCCTTGTTCCTGTCTCCCTAGAGTTTCTTAATGAAAGAGTGGTAAAGGAGAAGTAGTACATTGCTTTTAAATCTTTCCCAGCAAACATAATTATAAAACATGTTAAGTGTGCTTATTTTATTGTAGTGTTACACTTTGGATTATTTTATTTTTAGTGACTCTTTGGATAACAGGCTTTTCTGATAACATATACCTAATCTCAGATTCTTGCGTCATTCAGTGTAAATCTTTACAAAACGGAAGAGTCATTCTTTCCAAGGTGGTTATTTAGATGACTTTGGTGATCTGAATAGGTAAGCACTCTCTGTAGCATAAATACAAATTGGAAAATATTTTAGTGCTATAATAGAAACTTACATTAATTTGCTTTAGTTTTCATCTGAGCATGTGAAATTTGATATTTCTTATGTATTTTTAGTATCTTGTCCCTTGAAGCCTACCAAGTTCTTGACTCTGCTCTTCAGAGATTGAATTGCAAGGCATTGGCTCTCTGTTAAAGGTAACCTGAAATTATCTGAAGTCTGTAGAAAGGAGAGTGGATGTTCTTCAGGCAGTCTTGATGGAGCTTTTGTAATGATCTGAAGCCACAACTTTTATGGCTTACAGATTCAACTCAAAGTACTTGATTTTTAAAATGTTGACTGTGTTTTTTTCTTGTAATGTATGCATGCATATTGTATGTATTCTGGAGTTGTTCTGCAGTTCTTGAGCATTTTGTATTTGTAGTTGCCTGTTTCCTTTAATTTTTTCCTCTCTCCTAGTGGTAGGGAAAAAGGCTCTTCACTAGAAATGGAATCTAGTTGTATAGAAAACACTGACCGTGCAAGCAGCTCTCTGAAAATGATTATTTTCTAATTTTTCATTTCTCATGAACTGTACTTCTAAAAATAAATTTAAAGAAAAGTCCTCAAGACTTTTCACCCCTACCTCTGAGATCAAGCTCTGAGTACTATTTCATGTTATTAATTTACGATGTATTCATCTACTTCAGAAAAAGGTTGGAGTAGGATTAAATTATGTGGTCCTTCAAGAAACTTCGTGGTTAGTGATTCTCAGGATAACAGTGAAGCTTTTAAATAACTCACTAGTAGTTTATTAGAGAAGAATAAATGAAAGCAATGCCCAGCTTGACAGGTATATCATTGTACTGAGTGTAAAATGTAACTTACATTTGACCTGATTTTAACAGGTCAGCCTTCTATTTGCAACTTGATCTCTCACCTTTGATATGAAGTATTTTTCTTTTGGCTTTACATCTTTAAATGGGTTCACTTGAATCAGACTGTCACTCAAAATTTAACTCTAAATGTAAGAAAAGCCCTATGAAATGGAATACTTGTCCATTTTTTTGACTATTGCATTCTGCATGTCTATGAACAAAGGTATCAGTTACTGCTGATTAGTTTCAAATGTGTAGAATAGAAATATAGGGATATAAAATGTAGGGATATATTATAAAACTTCATTTTTGTCCATTTGCCTTGTATGTTTACAAAAGATCTTGCAAGTACTTACGATCTTAAGTTCAAAAAGAGTCTCATTAATTTGAAATGTTACAACTGCATCTCTGAAACTGAGCTTGTATTTAAGTAGGATCAAAGCTATGGGCTATAAGCTTTTTGAAGATTGGTTTGTGTCTTACCCTTTTCTAACAGAATGAGTCTCTAGATATTTCTTTAATACAAATAAGAATAATTTAAAAATCTAAGATTAGCAGAAAGTTTTGTATTGTTTAAAGAATTAAATTCAACTAAATTCAAATGCTGTAACTTGCTAGGTACCAAAACTACAAAGTAGCAGTGCTGTGTTTATTAGGATGGGGGAATTATTTTATTTCCTCATCTTGGAAATATACAACCAGACTAATGCCTTATAAAGCAGTCTTTTGTATTTTTAAAAAAATCTTAATATTTGCAAAGGATTTGGGGAAAGGAAATTAATAATTATTTCTATTGAATAGGAAGAGTAACATACAGATGGGCTGACTTTACTACCTTTTCACTCCTTAGTCTACAGCAACTCAGTAAGTGTTTTCAGTAATTACAGCTCTCATGGTTAGTTGTGGTTCAGTAATGATGAAATGATGTCCTGTGTCTGGAGAGATCCCACTTTCTTAACGTTTGCTCCATGTAGCTTTTCCAACAGCAGAGGAATCCAATCCCTGGCTTAACATCAGTTTTCTGAGCAAAGAATCATTCAGATCCTCATAGTCTTTCTAAAAGAGATGCTTCCTTATCATTGTCCTTAATCTTTAACACTCTGCTTTGCAAATTATCAAAGTAGAATCCTTGAATTTCAAGAGCAAAAAGACCTTATTAAAATATATACTCTTTAGCTGTTTAGCTGTTTAGCTATTTATTCTTTAGCTGTTTAACTGAGTATCTACAGATGTCTTAGATGTGTTGCAGTACTCTTGCAAAAATGTTTTCTTGAAGTGCAGCTAGTGTTTTTTCTAGCTGTAATAAATATTCCAACTTTGACTAAGTCTTTAGATTTTGTAAGCCAGAGAAATGCTTCAATGCTGAAGAAGGTAATTATGTAAAGAAGGTTAAATCACTTGAAATCTGATGTTAAAACATTGTGCCAGACATGTGCCTTTTATACTTCTAGAAAAATGCAAAATAGATTTCAGGAGACTCATCTATTTTACTAGTCCAATCTGGTTTTAGTGAGAGGATCCAGGTATGCCTTATTTCTCCATGAAATACAGAGAAATTATGTGGCAAGGTAGCCCTAGAAGGCGTATGTGGAGGCTGGTGCTGGGAGCAGCAGAACATGTGGAATATGAAGTAAAGAAGCAACTAGCTGCTAATGCAAAATGAAAGCTGGAAGAAGCTTGTATGGGAAGCTGTATGAGTTGCAGGGAACAGATTCTGCAATTACTGCTTTGCTCATGTCTTATCTGTGAAAAGAAGGAATTGGGCAGCTAGGTTTTATTGTACTGGAGAGCTCTATATCCATCAGGTATCTGAAAATAGTTGTGGATATGATTAATCTCCCTGAAGTCTATATGGCCAGAGGAAGGCTTGTGCTTGGAAGAATGCTTGCTTCCACTCAGCTTTTACCCCAACTGTATTTTGGGTAGTAATGCACAACCTGTAGCCTAATAATAGATGTTGTTTCTCTTTCCTCCATTCCTGATGGAAGTACCTATTAATACGCTCCCAAGGTTAGGCTCCCTTAGACTCCTGTTTGAGGTTTCCTCAGGTTTATGCTCTTTTAACTTGAATCTAGAGTCGGAACATACAGAAAACAGTCTTCTGTATCAGTTTCACCACCAAAACTGAGCTGATGCAGAAAGTCTTTGTAGTAGAAAAATACTACACTAGCAGCATTCCCTGACTTACACTTCAGTGCTTTGAAAATAGGTATGGTGACTTATTTTAATCCCCACATAAGCATGAGGAAATAACATTTTTGCATGAACTGGCCTGCTCTCATTATTTGGAGAGCAGTGTATTTCAAGCATGTTTTCCGTAATTTTGAAGAGCTATTTTGGCAGCAATATGAGTATTCAATAGGGAATGAAGATTATTGAGAGATGCCATATTCACCAAAAGGTAAGCATTGTAACTAGTTCCTGTTACTTCCTGCTAGCTTACAGTTTTGTCTCTAGTTGACAGATGCAGAAATTCGTCATTCTTTCAGGGTCTAGAGTTGTTTTGGTATTAGCTTTAGATCAGACCAGAAAAATCATAACCTCAAAGGTTTTCATGGCCAGTAGGGCAAAGAGTACCATGCCCCAAATGTCCCCTGGATCTGGGAAAACTGGTAGGTATATCCAGATGTAGTAATAGACTTGGAAGTATCTGACTTATGTCCAAATATGTGGATTCAATCTAGCAAACTTACAGAATGTGCGTATGGTAGGAACACACTACTAAAACTTGCACTACAGGCTACATTGGGATCAGGTGAAAATGACCTCTGGTATGCATTTCTTCTGCAGCATTGTTGCATATCACCAGAGGTTTATTGGTTGCCCAGAAGGTGAGGTAGGTGTTTCTCATAGGTGGTTATGCTGGGTCTTCAGGGAAAGCAGGTACTTCAAGAATTCATGCTGCTGTGTAGACTCCTGTGGGAGAAAAGTTTTTGGTGCCAATGAAACCCATATTTGCACCAGCTGAATGGGGAGAATCTGCCCAGTGAAAGGGGACGGAGCTAATGGAAAAACTGTAAGACTGTAGGAATGTGAGGGGAGAAAATGTTGGTCTCCTGCAGAACTCAATGGCAAAAATGCGTAGGTAATTCCCCACAAGATAGATAGGAGTACAGAAAACCCTTTCATAAATAACTATCTAAAGAAGTCAATCCCCATAAAGTCTAGGACAAGTCAATGAATGGTGTGAATGTTTTAGCATGTGGGAAGATCTGTGTGAGGAATAATTGCTGATTGAATTGTGGAATATTTATGGATTTACCTGTGCTCAATCCGAGTTTTTTCCCAAGAATGTACAAGAGGGCTGTTACTCAATTAACTACTTTGCTTGGGAAAGTCAGTGAAGAT